AGCATTTTTTTAATCATCATTTACTCAAAATCAATTTCTTATCCCGTAAGGTGATTTTAATAGCTTAGCCCCCATATGTTGAATTGTATGTAGCAAATTTTTTGAAAAAATAATATATATATAAACAAGTTTGAGTCAAGACTTAGATTCGTAATTTTTCAGCAAGGTTATAAATACCATTTAATAATTTCAAATTTAATAATACCCAACTTTCGAAATTTTTGAATTACTCTTCTATTGGTCCTTTGAATATCGGCAATTCCAATAATAAACAAAGAATTTTCAAACGATAAATTAAATACAAGAGCATCTTTAAGGCTATCAGCACATTCAATTAATAACCTTGGCAATTCTTGCGCAGTGCGAGATTTACCTTCTCAGTTCCTGCTAAAATGAAATATTCTGGTATTTTTGTTTTTTCACGTTGTCCAGCTTTCCAAAACATGTAATGATCATGAATTGCTTCCTTAAGTTATTTTCTCAAAGCAATTGAGGCTTGAAAGTCCCAAATGGAACCACTACCTATGAGAAGAAGATAAGGATTACGAAATTCTAATTTAACTGGCAGCTTTTGTGCTTTAAAAATAAATGACATCAGGCAAAAATATATATATAATAAATGTAAATTTTATTCGAGAGGTAAATTACTTACCAGTGTTAGTAATGATGTGAATGTTACTCACTGTAAATTTTACTTGATTATCTAATTCAGCTTGAAAATATTCAATAAATAGTTTTTGAGGTTAATTTCATTTCCGGTAAGTCTTTTACAATACCATCTTCAGTTAATACATTTTTATCTTTAATCTTTTCTTCATCGAAATTAACTTTTCAAAGTTTCAAATCATCAGAATTATCAACTTTTTTCTTCTCGCAGATATAATCCCTGAGGAGAACAACTGTTAATATGTTTAAATTGATTATTTGTTGACCAAATATTACGAATCATTCATCTTTGTCTTTGAAAAAAGAAACCGGAAAAAAGGGAAGAGTTGTTAGTATTTCTTAGAAGTAAACAATTAAATGACTTTTCCATTTTGATGATATTACTATAAAGTAATAAAATAAGTTTTAGTTTATGAAAGTAGTTTTGAGAGCACTTTTGAGAAAGTTTGAGATTATATAAATACCATAATGACCTTTCTAAATATATAGTGACCAATAATAATAACATAGACTCTTGATAAACTCTTGATTGGTGGCTTGTTATGATGAAATACAGCAAAAAATTAAGTATAGTATAAAAATAATTTCATTAAATTTATACAAAAAAAAATAGTTTATAGCGAAAAAAATTCTAAACATTGATTAGAATTGTATGATAGAAAAATGATGACTAACTGATTTGCATTATCTTCTCAAAACACATCCCAAAAACAAAATAATTAAAAATCTTATAAATGTTGAGATACCAATTGGATTAATGTGTGTAAATAATAATGAATTCCATAGAAATTTTTTTGCAAAGGCATGCATTTACGTAAATTTTAACGATAATATTTTTTTTTATAAATTTTGGCGATGCCAACCTCAAAGATTAATTATCAATTACTCACATCAAACTCTTGAAAAATATACAAATCGAACTATAGCAATGGAAATTTTTTTATTTCGATACGATAAAGATAAAAAAAAAAGCCAAATGCCTTAAGTCTGTTTTGTCATAAAAAAGTATTTAGCAAAATTTTGTGTGACATTTGCGAACTAATTTGTATAGTTCAAATTTGATAAAAGACCACAATTGTAAAGAAATTTGCACAAAATTTTTAAGAAATAATTATTAAAGTTATCCGGCTAAATAACAGTTGAAATTAACCGTTAATAATTATTTAAAAGTT